TACCATGGATAATCGATAAAGGACTAACAGTCGTAACAAAAAAGATAGTGGGATTCAAACCCACGACTTCCCCGGCTTGCTAAATCCGCGATCCTACAGTGGACACGGTGAACGAATTATTTTTATTTTTTATTTATATTTTTTTATTTTATGAAAGCTTAAATAATAATAAAATTATTAAATAAACTAAAAAGAAACGCAGCGCTAGCAACGGAGGCTTTCGGCTGGTGAACGAATTAAAGTACTAATATTTCTTTATATTACCGAAAGAAATTTGTCTTCAATTACGAGCTATCTTCTCTCATCTTAAAAAAAAAAACTGTGTCTACGATGTCTATGATTGACACAACTTAAAAATCTATTCTAAACTTAAAACCTTATTTCAAAAAGAATAAGTTTTAACTTACGACTATGACTATAGGCCTATATGTTTACCGTCATCCTCGGATATGATTGACATTAGTTATGTTTTTTACCGGAATATTAAGGGATCGCAGTTAGATAAAATGTCAAAAGCTGTATCAATGGGAATCTTTTAAGCTCCTCATCAGAGCAGAGAGTGTAACTGTAAACTCATTTAAAATTTTAATCATGAAATATTTACAAGTAGCATTTCATTATTTTTCCTTTTGTCTGGTAGTGTGGCTTATAGTTTTTCAATCCACAATCATTAAAAAAAAAATGATTTCACACAGCGAGGTGGTAAATTTAAAAAAATTATTACAAGTCCAGCGCGATTTTCAATTCTGAATAAAAAGTTAGACATTTTTTGGGAATTTTGGTAAAATTGGTTGTTTTTATAATTTTTGTTCAAAGTTTTAATTGTGGATTTATATGGTTCTTATTATATAATGCGCTAGAATTTTATAAAAAAAAATATTAAACATCGAATAAACAAAATAAAAAATATCCCAAAATTTAGTCAACAAAAATTTTCTATTATTTTTTCCACCACTGTATATATTGCACGTTTAACAGAATTATTTCAAAATTTCAATTTTGTAAAAACACGCAATCAAAGTTTGATCAACTCATAGAGTTGGTATACAAAAGGACCGATGGAAAGACCGACATCTTCTTCTTGGAAGTTTAGTTATCTGTTAGGATGAACATATTAATTATCCTTATCATATTTATTGATTGTATGAAATCTCCAAAAACGAGTTTTGAACTTTGAATTTTGAACTTCTCAATATTAATAATACGTTCAAACACTTAAAACTATTCCATGCACTTGGAATTTTATTGGGGATATTTTACATTCCATATCGAATGCTGAGTGGAAGATCGACCTATCTCGGCAGCCAGCTCAAAAACGCTCTATCTCAAAAAAACTGTTCCAGAACGCCCTATTTCAGAACTCGTTTCAAAAACTTCCTATCTCAGCTGCCGATTCAAAAACGCCCTATATCAGCTCATTTTCAATAAATTTTGAAGTGAGATTGGGCATTCATCAACCAAATTCTGAGAAAGGGTGTTTTTCATAAAATTCTTGAAAAGCTTTTTGAGATAGGGCGTTTTCGAAATGGCTGCCGAGATAGGATGATCTTCCACTCAGCAGTCGATTTGTTAAAGAGGAGCAGAGCTGAAAAATGTTTGAATGAGTGTGATCGCCTGGTCACACTGGTATTGACTCTCATTGGTTTTTTTAATCGGGTTTTTATTTCTCACATCGGTTAGAAAATACGTATAAACGCATTGTTC